GTCCGTAAAAATGATGAACAGATCAAATGAACGAGTTATATGACTGCTTTTTATTTATTTGCTAGGATTGTGCAATGAATCCCCTTCAGATGCAAACTCACCATTGCTTCCCTATTCCTTTTAGTGTGCAGCTCACAGGCGATCTTTAATCTCTTGATTTTCTCGCCTTTCTGCAAGTAAAGGATTACACGGACATCTCTAGCTGCTCATTCATTAAGAAAATTATGTTTGACATCGTCTCTTTCGAGACAGAAAGAGAACCCACAGAAGCATTTCCATTTATCATAGCATAGACAAACTCGCACGATTCATCCGTCACAGTTCGCAACGTTTCCGTGCGCGAATTCTTGTAAAATCGAGCTGATGCCGGTTCATATGTGAGCACAAAGCGGCCTTGGTCCTTGAAAGGTATTAGATGGATTTTATGGTGTCATTACTGAAACTGTGTGTATACCCTGTAGTTGGCTAGCTGAATTGCCATCTGAACAAAACCATCAGGAGATATGCCACATTTTTTGATAAAACCTTTGCCAAAGTCTCTGCAGAAAAATAAATTAGTGGAAAAAATCAGTAATTACATATTTTGCTTGAGTTTATCTTTAAAAAAGGAACTCAAGCTTGAATAGCATGCTCTTCCCTAATTTTGATTGGTACAGCTCTTACCAAGATTAACACAAAGAGGCACGTAAGGCATTGTCGCATTTGCGCCAGTTCAATGAAACACGGCACCCTCGGAATGCCCATAGAAGGGGAAATTGAAGATATGAGGTTGAGTTCATTTATCCTTACACTAATCAGCGAGTACCATTGATCTAATACCTTTCACATCTTTACGTGAGAGCACATAGAGTTTTCTGCAAAAGCAATGTGAAGAGCATAGTTTGTGTACACGAAGTGACATTGAGACTACTGTCACACGCAGCGCTACTAGTCGCCAACCGCATTGTAAGTATATGAAATAAATTAAGTAGCAAGGATTCCTTGATATTTGTATAGTACAATTACAAAACTAATATAGAGAATTTCTGAACTTAAATTATCACAGAAAACCCGATTTTGAAACGAAAACTCTAAGAACTTACTTGAAAACAGTAGCTGCTATGTCAACGTCTTCTCTGAGCTTTGAATATTGGTTGTAACATTTCTGGATAGCAGTAGCCATCTAGAACTAACCTGATATAATTGTGTCAATTGGAAACCGTTGCGTATTTCCGCGCACTAAAGCTTCGTACAAGCACGT